ATTCTGTATGTTATTCTCAGTATACTGTTCCTTGGTGTGAGTCTGCTGTAAGTTTATACATTTGGGGTCCTCTAAATCTCTTGTAGTTAATTTTCCATTTCATTCTTTAGATTTGGGAAATTTTCTGGTATTATGTCTTTGAAAAGACTGTGCATTCCTTTGGTTTGTATCTCCATGCCTTCATCTGTTCTGATAAATCTTAGATTTGGTCTTTTCATGTTACCCCATATTTCTTGGAAGTTCTGTTCATAGTTTCTTACCATCTTCTCTGTATGGTTGACTTTATTTTCAAGAGTATATATCTTGTCTTCATTGCCTGAGGTTCTGTCTTCTAAGTGGTCTAGTCTGTTGGTGATACTTTCCACTGAATTTTTAATTTGGTTTTTGTTTCCTTCACTTCAAAGATTTCTGCTTGATTCCTTTTTACAATCTCTGCCTCTTTATTGAAGTTATCTTTTGCTCCCTGTATTTTCTCTCTGATACCATTCTTATTTCAAAGATCAGCCTAATTATGTATCTTCTAAACTCCTTTTCTGTCATTTCTTCTACTGTGTTGTGTATGAATTCTATTGTTGAGACATCTTGGTTTGTTTGAGGAGCTTTGTTCCTGTTTTTTTTTTTTTTTTTTTTTGTGTGTGTGTGTGTGTGTGTGTTGTTTGTGTGTCTTCCCATCTAGCAGTATGGATCTGAGGAAATACAGTTTCTGCCCTATAGTCTTACAGTGTCCCTGAAGGCTTCCAGTACCTTATCTTTAATGGAGAGACCAATATTAACAGCACCAAATGCAAACAATATATACCTTTAAACCAAATAGATCCCATTAAGGCATCTACAGTTTTGTTACAATAACCAGAAATGATGTATTCAGTTATTGTCTACAATAATATAGTAAGTATGCTAAAAGGTTCTACCATTTCTCATGATGGACAATGAGGGAACAGAAGTAGTGTAAGATGTGGTGTTTATGAGGGAGGAGAGAAGATAGAAGTAAAAATGTTTAGTAATACCGAGGGAGTAATTAATAGAGGTTGGCTGTTAGTATGAGATAATTGAGAAAGAGAATCCAATGAGAGAGATAGGCGACAGAAAAAATATATACAGATTTAAAAAAGAAAAAAAGTAAAAATATAAGGATATACAACAAAACTGTAATATACTATTCAGATGTACCATTTTCTCAATAATTGAAGCAAGAAAAATATTTGGATTCAAAGATGGTAGAGAGAGAGGGAAAAAGAGAAAAAAAAAAGGAATACTTCAATGGAAAATTGAACAATAACTTCCATTGGCTTTAAAAAATGTTCTCAGCTGCTCTTCTCTGCTGATAGGTGGGGTTGTCTAAAGTTTGACGGAAGCTCCAGTCTGGTTGGTGCTGTACTGGTTGGGTGGGTGAGCCAATATCAAGATGTTTTCATACCCTTTTCCAGGCTTCCCACTTGTAGCCAACCCCTTTCATCCTCATGTACTTTAGGACTCACTGAGCTGGAGAGAGCCCAGTTTTTTCCAGTTTCTCCAACCTGTGCTCCCTTTGGGGAATTGCCTCTAATCTCTGGTGTTCCATGGGCTTGCTAGACCCAGACTTGCCCACACAAGCCCAGCTTCAATCTGATAGACCTGGGCTTCAGATTCTCCATGCTCTGCCTTACTGCAGTCCCAAGATCTCAATGCTGTTTCAGCTTACAGAGAGATCACCAGGGATGCACTTACACAAAGGAGCGACCCTACAAAGAGACATCCAGATAGTAGCCACTAGCACACCTAGAAGAAAGACCTCAGGTGCAATCAGAGCTGCAGGTACCCCAAAAATATATTTCTAAGCTCTGGCTGGTGTTCCCAGACTGAGGTGGCCGTGCCCCAAGATGGCGGCGGTGCAGCAACAAACCAACAGGTCTTGGTGGATGTTCCAAGATGGTGGTGACTGCTTGTAACCAAACCTGTGGGTACTGTGACAATGGTCTTCCAGAAAGTAGGGGACAGTAGGCAGGGGGCAATCTGCTGGCAGTCTGTGGGTGGTCTGCAGACTAACATCAGGTGATCCACCGGTGGACATCAGGTGGCAGGCGATGGACAGGCAAGAGGCAGGCAAATGGCAGATGACAGGCAGCAGTCAGCAAGGGATCTGTGTTCAAAAGGCAGGCTATATACTGGTACACAATGGGTGATCACAGCAGACAAATGGTGGGTAAACAGCAAGAGATCAATGGACAGCAACACTGCCTTGCAGAGAAACAGTATTTCTTCTGTTTGGACACCGAGTCACAGAGCGACAAGGAATGCATCTTCCCTCTAGATAGCCATCTTGGATCTTCTCCTCCAAAGACATTTTTTACAGAAATAGAAAGAAAAATTCTAAAATTCACACACAAAAGACCTCAAATATCCAAGATAATCTTGGAGAAAAATAAACTAGAGCTATCACAATTCCTAGTATCAAAATATGTTACAAGGATACAGTAATTAAATATTGCCATAAAAAGAGACCAACAGAACAGAACAAAGAACCCAGAAATAAATTCATATGTATATGGTCAACTGATCTTCAACTAAGGTGCCAGGAATACATAAATACATAATGGGAAAAGGATAATCTTTTCATCAAATGGTGTTAAGAAAACTGAATAAACAACAATACAAAATGGTGAAATTAGACTCTTATCTTACACCATAAACATTAGTCATCTCAAAATGGATTACATGCTTCATTTTAAAACTCCTAGAAGAAAACATAGGGGAAACCTTCCTGATATTGATATTGGCAATGATGTCAATAATCTTGTATATAATACCCAAAACACAGGGGGAAAATGTGTAACTAGACAAGTGGGACTACATCAAATTAAAAAGCAGAGAGAAATAGACAATACAGTGAAAAGCCAACCCACAGAATGAGAAAAAATATTTTCATAGATCTGATAAGGAGTCAATTTTCAAAATAGAACTCCTGAAATTCAATATTAAAACCACAACCCAATCAATAGATGAGCTAAGAACCCATTCATTGCTTTTTAATAATATTTTTTAGTTGTGGATGGACCTCAAGTTTGAATATTTATTTTATTTATTTATTTTTATGTGGTGCTGAGGATGAACCTAGTGCCTCACACGTACCAGGCAAGTGCTCTACGCTGAGCCACAACCCCAGCCCCATTTATTGTTTCTATTTATTAATGGAGTTATTGAGTAACCCAATTAAATAACTCAATTAACAAATGGGTGAATACCAGTTAAGATAACTAGTATAGTTTTTTAAAAAGACAAGTCTTTGCAAGAATGTGGATAAACTGGAATCCTTGCACACTGTCGATGGGACTGAAATATGGTACAGCTGCTATACAAAATAGAATGGAGGTTCCTCAAAAAATTAAAAGTAGAACTACCATATGATCCAACAATCTGACTTCTGGGTGTTTATCCAAAAGAATTGAAATCAGAATCTCAAAGACTTATTAGCATTCCCATGTTCACTACAGCCTCTGTTCATGATAACCAAGATGTAGAAACAAACTAAATGTCCATTGGTGACTGAATGGATTTTTAAAATATGGTGTATACATACAATGGCATATCACTCAGTCTTAAAAGGAAGGAAATCCTGCCATATGTGACAATATAGATGAACTTCAAGAACATTATGCTAAATGTAATAAGCCCACCACAGAAAGTCAAACTGCATGATTTCAATTACATGAGGTATCTAAAATAGTCAAACTCCTAGAAGCAAAGAATAGAATAGCGGGTGCCAGGGCTTACAGGGAGAGGAAATGGGAAGTTGTTAATTAACAGATATAAAATTTAAAATGTATGCAAGATGAATAAGTTCAGAAATCTGCTCTACAGTGTTATGTCTATAGTTGTACACTCAAAAATCTGTTAAGGAGTAGATCTCATGTTAGGTGTTTTTAACACAATAAAATTTTAAATGAAAATGAAAAATTTTTAAATGATACAATGCATGAGGACTGTTTCAATCCCCAACATTGCAAAACAAGATAATAAAAATAAATAAAAATTTAAACAAGATACACTTCAAAATATTCAGATGTAAAATTTACATATGTCTGAATGTTCTTGGCTTTTTATTCCAAAAATAAAAGAACTCAGTACTGAATTCTGAATGGGGAAAAACTCATATTAGCTAATTCTATTCAGAAGCTAAATCATAGGAGAACTATTAGTGATAGTAATAAAATTGGATAGGGCATGTTCCTAAATATTTGTCTAATGGCTATTTTTTTGTCTTAACTATCAAGTGGAGTTTTAGACTCCTCAAGTTTGAATATTTAATATTTTCCTGCCATCTAGAAGTTTTGTTTTCAGATATTCTATTTAAGAATTATTCCAAATATCATGACTAATTAGCTGATTCTAATAGTCTCTGCCTAGGTCTTCTGAATTCTCTCAGGTATGAAGTAAAGGAAGAAAACAACTCAGGACTAATTACATCTTAAAAGAGGACTAAAGAACTTTCATTTTTTAAAATCAAGAGTTATTAAACCACAGGAAGAAAAATAAAAATCAGTTACTTGCTACCTGGTTTCTTTAAGAAATCTTATGTTTACAAGAAAGATATAAAATTTCCTACTTACCTGTTTTTATATTGATGACAATAAATATACAGCTTAACTCATTATGTAAATTAAAATAGATTTTAGTTTACATTAAGATGAGTTATAGCAGAAAAACATAGCAGGGAAGAAAATAAGACAAATAAGAGAGACAAGGATTAAAAAACACCTCTCAGGAAAGGGCAGGTAACACATCTCCAGGAAATGAGGCCAAGAGTTTAGACTTTCATGGAGCAATAGCAATCTGGATGTGTCCCTCAGGACTTTTAAAATCCTTATTGCATTAGTACAGATCTCATCACAAATACCCCTATCACCCAGACCCAGTAGAACTTCAGGGTGAAGATGACTCTGCTTCCAAGAGCTGTGAAACACTAAGTTTATGAAGTTGCTCATTCCCAGCTAGATTAAAGATTAATTGATCTTTAACCTTACCTTTCAATATTTGGTAAATCAGAAAATCCAGAAGCAGCTACAACTGTAGATCAAGCCCTAGGCAAAACTGTGATGGAGGCAAGGGAATCCTCAGGTCTTTTCCTCTTCACTTTGGACACCTCACTCAAGAGAAGTATAATGGCTTTTAGGGCAGGTTGCGGAGGTAGTGAAAGCTGGGATGCTTAGCCACCATCACATAGACCTGGAGATGAAGATAAGCTTCATAACTTTTCAGGGGACCTGTGAAAACAGCTTCAGCTATAAAGTGATAATAATAATACTGAAGTTATTGATAAGATTTTGTCGAATTAAAAGCAATGGACTAGCTCAATGCAGTGGCACACGCCTGTAATCCCAGCAGCTCTGGAGGCTGAGACAGGAGGATTGCAAGTTCAAAGCCAGCCTCAGCAAAAAAAAACAAGGCACTAAGCAACTCAGTGAGACCCTATTTCTAAATAAAACACAAATTAGGGCTGAAGATGTGGCTCAGTGATTGAGTAAACCCAGTTCAATCCCCAGTACCCTTCCTCTGCTAAAAAAAGCAATGGACTATTTAAAATGCTAGCACACTGCTTGGCATTGATAAGCACTCTTTAGATATTGGTTACTACCTTGACTGAGTCTAATTTCCTTTTTATGGCACTCAGTCTTACCCTTGAAGTAGGCCTGGTCAGTGTGGTCTAGGCAACAGAACAAAGATCACAGTTTCGGTTCAACAAAAAGTCTGTGGCCTCTGAAAGGGAAGTATATATGTGTGAGAAGAGTCATGTGGAGATAATATAGATGAGATAATCCTTAAAGCCTCTGGGTTAGTCAGCCTTCCATCACTACAAAATAACCTGAGATAATTTATAAGTAAAAAGGTTTGTTTGGCTCACTGTTTCACATCATTTGGCCTGGTAGCTTTGAGAAAAGTCAGTGCATCGTGGTGGGAGTATGTGGTAGAGAAAACCCACTCATCCCATGGCCAGGAGGCAAAAGAGAGAAAGAGGAAGGTACTGGGGTCCCACAATCCCCTTCAAGAGGATATCATAAAGGACCTAAGGAAATTTCACAAGATCCCATCTCCTCAAGGATCCATCACCTCCCAATAGTGCCACTCTGGGGATACATGGGCCTTAGGGGGCAATCAAGATCCAGATATAGTAGTTGTCTACAACTAAACACTAGGATTCTGTGAAATCTCAGTCCTTAGAAAAAGATCTGGAGAAGCAGCTGTTCTGTTCTCTGATGGACCCATACCTACTGCCCACTCTCCTCCATTCTCTAGCTCCCTCCTTCCTCTAGCACACAACTGGGCTCAAAACAAACACTGACTAAATATCCTTTGGCCTGCTCACCAAATCATGTATGGATGAGCTGCTATTAAGGTTCCTCTTTATTGAAGGACACAGAAGAAAAGCTGCACCTTGCTCTGGGATGACAGGACTCACTGTTGTCTATCAAGATGAAGCAGATCTTAAGATGGATGCAGGTTTTGTGTACTTTTAGAATTGAAGACAGTCACTCTGAAGAATTTTTTTATGCAAAATAACACTTTTGGTGGTCTCTATACTTGGTCAACAGCTGCCTTTTGGGTACCATAGAGCAGCCTTCAGTGATGCCTGATAAAACTCAGTATGCCACAACCTCCTGCTGGGCACTTGCTAAAAGGGATTATAGTAGTAAATATGTACCTCTTGAAACTCTGAAGCATTTCTCAAGGACTGGGAGCCTTTCCCAAGAATGTTATCAAAAGAATGAAACCTTAGTCTCCAAGACTCCACAGGAAGTCAAGAATCCTAACTTTGATAATTACCACAGTTAACCTGGATTTTGTGTGTGTGTGTGTGTGTGTGTGTGTGTGTGTTGCTGGGGATTGAACCCCGGGCCTTATGCTTATGAGGCAAACACTCTACCAAGTGAACTATATCCCCAGCCCTAACCTGGACTTCTTTATACTAACCAACCCTTTGTATTTTTACACTTCTCTAGCTCCAATGAGTCACTGCACTCCCTTTAAAAAGCCCAAATCAGAATGGTGCTTAGTTCTTTCCCCTACTGCTAGGCAATTTTTAACTTCCTCATTTCTAAATATTCTTTTGTTTTGCTTTGTTTTGTTTTGAGACAGGATCTCACTATGTTGCCCAGGCAGGTCTCAAACTCCTAGTCTCAAGTGATTCTCATGCCTCAGCCTCCCAAATACTTGAGACCACAGATGCACACCATATGCCTAGCCAACTTCCTCATTTCTAAGATCTGTAAGATGTTTTACAGAACATGGTATTCTGGGGGAGGACCTTAATGTTTGACCTAAGAATGACATGGATGAAACTAAAAGTCTTAAACTAAAAGAATCTTAGATTCAGGACCAAGAGCTACATAAACTATATTCAAGAGCAAGGAGAGGGCTGTGGTGTACCTCATTTTTAAAGTGCTTGCCTGGTGTGGGTAAGGCTCTGGGTTTGATTCTCAGTACTGCAAAAAGTAAAAAGCAAAATAAGTGAGGGGTGTTGACTATGAAATTATATGACTAAAATAGTAAAAGCAGGCTGGGATGCAACTCATTGGTAGTAGCTCTTGCCTACTAGCACACATGAGGCTCTAAGTTCCATTCCCAACATCACTTACACACACACACACACACACACACACACGTAAATAAATAAATAAAAAGGAAAAGACACACCTGCATCCAATTAATACCCAAGACATTATGAGACCCATCAACTGGATAGTAAACAGATTTAGCATAACTCCTGTCTCCTTGTTGGTTGACCTTTAATGAAGACTTTTATTTTTGCAAAAACTGGTGCCATAGGATTGACATATCCATGGGGCAAGGGCCCTGAGGAGTGGTCAGTGAAGTGAGGGAGCAAGCATGACTTATACCTGAGACCAACTGAATACAGAATACCATGTGCCAGAGGTGGAAGTCTAAGTCAAACTTAGAAGACCAGTCTCATGGAAAAACCAAGAGCCTCAGTTGTAGCAAGAAATTTTCAGCAGCAGCAAGTACCTATGACAGATTTCCAGGTGGAACTGAAACAGGCATTTTTAGCTAAGCCTCCAAGAAGTGTTTAAAGCAGGATTGGAACTTTAAAGTAGCTAGATGCCTGCAAAAGCCAGGCATTGTGATGAGGATTCTATCTCTATATATTTTTGTAAGCTGCCTTTTGCATTAGACCAACTTCAAGTTGGTCCCTGGGGAAGCAATAGATAAATTTGCATAGAGCCAATCGAGTTTCATTGGAGGAAACATTGAACATTGAACCTTTTGCTTTTAAGGTTCAATGTTAGAATGGCTCTGAAATGTTGAGGGCATTCCAAATAATAAATGCTAGTTAGAAAGAACACCAAGGATTCTGATGTGCTGGGCAGGGGTAGGGGTAGCATAGTTAGGTGCCATGTTTCAGAATGTGAAATCATGTAAGTATGAATAAAAAGAGCTGAAATCTTGTGACCTTAGCAAAGAGCTCTTTTGACCAAGCTGAACCAGCAAGAATGTCACTGTGGGAGAGAACAAGAATATGTCAAACTCACCTGGAAATGTGGAGGACCCAAACTAGCTAAAACAATCTTGGGGTGGGGGGGACTGGAAGACTCACACTTCCTGATTTAAAAACTTACCACAAAGCAATGATAATCAAAATATTGTGGAACTGGCATTGAGATATACACGTAGATTAACAGTATATAATTGAGAGTTTAGAGGTAAATCTGCACAACTATGATAAATTGATTTTTGACAAAGGTGCTAAAATGGGGGAAAGGATGGTATGTCAACAAATGATACTGGAAAAAGTGAATATTCACATACAAAAGAATGAAGTTGGATCCCCTTACCTCATATATATACAAAAAGTAATTCAAAATGGATCCAAGATCTAAATGTAAGTCCTAAAACAATAAAATAGTTTCATTATGTTGGATTTGAATGTCAAAAAACACAAACAACATCAGAAAATAGATAAATAGACTATATCAAAATGTATAACTTCTGTGTATGAAAGGACACAACAGAGTGAAAAAGCAGTCCACAGAAAGGGAGAAAATGTTGGCAAATCATAGATCTGATAAGTGGTTAATACCAGGATGTGTAAGAACTTCTACAATTCATTACCAAAAATAAACAAAAAAAAAACTGATTTAAAAATGAGTAAAGGAATTGAATAAATATTTACCACTGGAGATGTAGTTCCATGGAAGATCTGTGCCTAACCCTGGGTTCAAGCCCCAGGACCACAAAAAAAAAAAAAAAAAGTAAATGTTTTTTCCAAGGAAGACATATAAATGGCCAATAATACCATAGGGAAAAGTGTTCAACATCATTAGTTATCAGAAAAAAGTAAATAAAAACTACAAAAGACACCACTTCATACATACAGGATGACTAGAATCAAAAAATTGAACATAAGAAGCACTGCCAAGGATGTAGAGAAATTAGAACCCTCAGACATTGCTCATGAGGATTTAAAATGATGCAATCATTCTAGAAAAATAGTTCAGCAGCTCTTCAAAAAATTAAAGATAAAGTTACCATATAACCCAGCAATTCTACTACTAGTTTCATACCCAAGAGAAATGAAAACATATGTCTAAACAAAATGTGTACATAATGTAACAGCACTATTAATCATAGTTAAAAAGTTGAAACAATCCAAATAAGCATCTCCAACAAATGGATAAATAAAATGTGTTATGTTCACGTTATAGCCATAAAAAGGAATATAAGACTGATGCATGTTACAGCATAAATATTTACCACTGTAAATATATGTACCAAGTTAATACAAGTCAACAAACATTTATTCAGCATCCTCCGTGTGGCAGACACGGTCATAGGGATCAGGACCAAGGTTTAAATATTTAAACTTTGAAAGCATTATGCTAAGTGAAAGAAGCCAGGGAAAAAGACCATGTTATATAATTCTGCTTACATGAAATGTTCAGATTAGGCAATCTACAGAGGTAAAAGTTGCTTAGTAGTTATTTATAGTTAGGGGGTGAATAGGCCAGTGTGGGGGGAAGTGATAGATAAAAGGTAGGGTTTTCTTTTAGAGGTGATAAAATGTTCCAAAATTGACTGATAATGTTTGCACATATCTGTAAAAATCCTAAAAATTATTCAATTGTATAGTTTTAGACCATGATATGTGAATTACATCTCAATATAGCTTATTTTGGGGTGGGGTACCAGGGATACTGGTACCTTGGCCTTGGCCACTTAGCCACATCCCTAACCCTATTTTGTATTTTATTTAGAGACAGGGTTTCATGAGTTACCTGTCTCAATTTTGCTGAGGTTGGCTTTGAGCTTGCAATCCTCCTGCCTCTGCCTCCTGAGCCACTGGGATGATAGGCATGTGCCACTGCACTTAGCTCAATATAGCTGTTTTTAAAGATAATAATAAACAGGCCTTTAAAAAGCCCTGGTTGGGGCATACAAAGCACCATTTTGAGATTTTATTGAATCCTGATCCCTATGACCGTGTCTGCCACATGGAGGGTGCTAAATAAATGCTTGCTGAATAGTATTAACTTCAAGTTGTATTTCAAAGAAAAAAATATCTAATATACCTATATTTAAAGAAAAAGTATCAATTTGGACCCTGGACACACCTGCTCTCTTCAAAGGTCTATTGCTAAAAAATGTCACACCTCTTTAAGTTGTTTCCTCACCAAAGAAGGCAAACCCAAACATACAATACTAACAGTAAACTTAGTAGATATAACAGTACATAAATATGGTCACTACCTCAAAAAAGATGCTATTTTCTGCAAAATTTGCATCTGTAAAATGGAGATTTACCACCTAATAAAGTTAACTTGAGGATTAAATAAAATTTTGTTTGTAAGTGGTTAGCAAAGTACCTGGAACAGACTAAGTCCTCAATAAATTACAATAATTAATATCTGCTACAAGAAAACTCATTAAAACATCTTTACTTATGAATCTATCCAAACAAGTTCCTGATTTCAAACTGTCTTGATTGATACTCATTTCAATTTTTCCACTTTCTGATTTGAAGCACATTATCTAAGAAAAAGTATTAACAAAAA